CATTTTTTTTTCTATCTGTGAACAGCTTTTACCGACAGATCATTGCTTGCTCCGGTTATCAAATTCCATTTATGGTTTATGGAAGTCAATTTTTTTCTAGTTAATGAATTGAGATGGTAATTTTTGTATTTACATTGTTAAAAAAACTTAAAAAAAAAAACGTCGGAAAAATGGGAGCATATTTTTATGTACACATTTTTTTTAAATCCATTTTTATTATAATTTTTTCATTTTTGTTTTTGTTTATTTTCATTTAACTCAATGATAAATAATCGTAGAGACTTCAAACTTTCACCGAATATTTATATTAGCACTTTCTCGATGTATAGCGATTTTCGAAATATTCTGACGTTTTTCGAGTAATTTATAGCTGTTTGAACTTTTAGAGTAGTTTTAGATTCTGAGTATAGCGAGGATAGCGTATAATATGTATTGCAATTGTTTTGGTGTTTTTGGGTAGTTTTTTTTGTTTTATGTTTAAAGAACTTTTCTAACTTTCTCCGAATCTTGCTCCGATCATCAACTTCAGGGATAGTTTGTAGTATAGTAAATTTTGTTTTTCTAGTTGGTGCGTTAAGGTGAACTTTTGTTGGTTTTTCCTCGTAGTTTGAAAGCCCGAAAAAACCGCAGGTAAACGTGACAATTTACGGGAATAACGATTTATATTTCTGTGATTTTTGATTACATTTTTTTTTTTTTTGTAATTCAGTTACAAACAATCTTAGAAATCAGAAATTATAAAATATTATATCATGTAATAATCATACAACTGTAAATATATACCCATCTACATTTTTAAATACAGTGGATTCTGCTTAATGTGGGCACCGGTTAATATGGGCATCCGCGTAATATGGGCAAAATGGTCTGGTCCCAATACAAATGTATGTTAACAAGGTTAAACAAAAATCGCTTAATATTGACACTCAGTACGGTTTATGTGGACAATTTGTATTTTATTTCATAGCGCTAGAATATAAACTCGTATGTATTGAAAAACGACTGATGTATTTAAGTTTCGTCGTATCTATGAGCTTGTGTTTATCGAAATTTATTATAATAAAAAGCATTACTTTTTGATTTTGTTGACTAAATATATAGACTTGCGCGTGACTTCATTCACAAGAGGGTGACGAAAATAATTCGTCTAATAACCTTGAAGCGTGTGTCTATTTTGTTAGCCAGATCCACAATAAACAGCTTAGACAACAAGCAATTTCGCTTTACGTTTTATACACCTTTCACATCCAAATAGTAATTTTATTTAGTATGTTATATTTAGTTTTATTATTCAACACAGTAATTTAACATTTTTTTTTCACTTGTATGGTTCACGTGTGTAAAATAAAAACTTTTACGATATTACAAATGTTTGCGTTTTTAAATTAGTTTCGGTTTTTATGGGCAGTCACTTATTTTGGGCAATCAGGGCTGGTCACAACGTGCCCACATTAAGCGGAATCCACTGTATAATCAAATATACTTGTATATATTTTGTATAATTCTCCAGTAATGCGCAAGTAAGTTGTGTAGAGAAATAATAATAATTTTGAAAATTACAATTACTGCGGCAGGTCAGGTAAGGCGTTAAAGATTGTGTAAATAAATAAATAATGCGAACGCGAAGAGTTTGGAAATGTTATTATGCAATAATCCTACAAGGTGCCACAACAGTTCAGCAGAAATACATCGTAATTATTATACTACTTCTATTTTTCTTTCGTGATTAAAGTACGTATTCAATTTACGTAAAATCACTATTCTCTTATTATGGTCTTGTTTCTCTTAATCAACAGCTCCGGCTTACACCAAACAACGATTGCCCGTGACGACGTTATTTAAACCGGTATGTCGATTCCCGTGGTCGTACAATTTTTCTAAATGCATGCCCGCGTAAAATGTGATAACAACCGTGAGAAAAATTGCTGTCCGTTTCTTGAGTAAAATTTCCTCCAACATAATTCGTTCTTCGTAAAACAATCAATAATAGCTGAATACCGAAGACACGGTGAAATTTTAGCATACAAAATAAACGAAGTTGAAAATTGAAAGTCAAAGCGCCAAAAGGTTGGTACATACTTGATACTATCACGGTACGTATACACAATAATTGCATCTCACTACTTTCATTTGTGTGTTCAAAGCCGAAAAACACAACAACGATGTGCTGAAATTAAAATCGAAATCTAATTCGATTTTCATCACTTCATCCCGCCACTTAAATAACTTTAATTCCTAGTTTGGTCCAGAGGGAACGGCTAGGAGAGTGTCCCGAATGGACGGGAAACATATCGATACAAATCTGTATTGTCTGTAATATACTACATAGTTACGGCATATAGTTTCTATTTTCTGAGGAAATTTGATAAAATTGATTTTAAAAAGTTAGAACCTCTTTCGTTATCATTTTATAACATTGTACTTTATCGATTTTTAGATATTATTATAATTACCTACTATCGTGAAGTGTATTATATTCAGGTAAATTATAAATCATTTGAAATAATTCCAGAAGATAAAATATTAATTGAATAGAAAAATAAAAGAATATTGGGTATATTTTTCCGTTTTGTCAGCGGTTTTCAGGAAAAGTACAAGGAAAATCGAAAAATAATTTTCGCAAAGCAGTTATAGACCAAATTTGCCATTTTAAAAGATCTCAGAAGTGCGGAGCGAGTCTGAGCGGGATTTCTATTAGAAAAGTTGTTTAGACAGAAAAAACACACACACAAACACCATAATAAAACCAATACATTCTTCGGCCCACTCAGAATTTAAAAAAAAAAATAAAATAAAAATATATACTTTTTCTCGCATAATCCCGAAAACTCATCGTACCGTCTACAAGTTTTTACGTATACTATAATAGAGGTTTTTTTTTTGAAGAGCCTTTCGATAAAACTAAAAACAAACGCGACGGAGGCTAATGTTTTATTTATCACGACGGCGGTGGACTTTATAATATAAGCTAGACGGATATCAACCGATATTTTTTGTTCTCACTTTTTGCGCGACTCGTGGATACCTGCAACGACTTAACAGTCTCTAAATATTTAAATACGTTTAACGAATTCCGTCAACGCCTTGAAATACGAGAGAGAAAAAATATATTAAATTCCATATACGGGTACCTGTACCCATGTGTATTTCGCTTTTCCGAAGGGTAAAAAAAAAAAGGTATCGAAAACGCGTATTCAAATATTATAAAATATACAGTACCGATTTTTAGACGTTTCATCCGCTCGCTGTTTCACTTTTCACACTGTGTTGCTATGCATTATTATATTTTTAATGAAAAACGTATAACGATATCATGGAAATTCGATATTTTTATGCTAGGTACCAAAAGAGTATTCAAATTTCGAGCATTCATACGAAACCAATAAAGTGTTCGCTAAATATAAAATATAAAATAAATTCGCTTTGTTGAGAATCTAAAATCGATGTCTAAAACTGATTTCGACAGTCTATCGCGTGAATGGATAATGGGTTTCCGATTATTAGGAACTGATTCGTGACAAAATTAAGGTGGACGTTAATTAATCAATAAGTTAATAAAAGAATATGAAGTACAATAACTTCAATTTAAGCTTTAGTTACAGCTTTTAGTTCTATTTTGATCTTGTATCTGGTATAAGGTTACGATACTGATTTTAGTGATACTGTTTCACAGAAAATAATTAAGACATCATGCTACTACTGGACAGACGATGACACTCGTCGTTAATCTTGGCGGTTATCGTTTCGTATAATATCGAAAAATGTCGTGTAAGCGTCATTATTCTAGCTAGGTTTTCCAAGAGAGCGAAAAACCCGTTTTCGTAATAATTTACCATTTTAAGCTCAGAACAAATTTGTTTAATGTGCTGTTTTATCAGTAGTAATTATTATCGCAATTTGTAATTAGATATATTTAGTAACACGGAGTGTCGAGAACGATTTGTATTTTACTTAAATTTGTTTGAAAAATTTGATGTTTGTGCTATGTGATAAAGTCGCTTAGTCTCCGAAAATTGTCTACTAATGACGTGAAGTGCCTAAAAATTATTTATAGGTCAGTGTTTTAGTGCCATCGCATTATGAATAATAGTGTCAATCGCATAGGGGCAACTAGGGATACAATTTTGGGGGGGCTATCTACATCTATGCATATATAAATCAAACAGACAGAATTTATATTTTAATCATTTATTGATTTCTTGGGGAGGGGTAATGATTTCTTTTTGGGGGGCACAGGCCCCTACTTTTTGTGCCTATGATCAATTGTTTATAAACGGTCGTACCGAAGTACCCGCAATTTGTACAAATGATGCAGTTAGTTCCCCGCCCCTATCTGATGTTGCTTAAATATTTATGTAGACCCTTTGAGTATCGCCCAGCTCTTTTGTTCGGGAGCCATAAATATTTTAAGCCAACTCGAAAATTATAAAACTAAATGATTCGCCTTTGATCTTTCCTAAAGGAACAACAATTTTTTGTTTTTAAACTCGGTCGAATTTCCTTTATATAAACATGGTATATTGGTAATGGGTTACTGTTAGTGTTGCAAATTGGATAATGTAAGGTACACAATTTTTTAAATTGTAATACTTCATGTATCTTACTAAAAAATTTAAACACCGGGAATAAGCCAACGTACAAACACAGAAATTATTCTTATTTTTAAGTACAATAATAGACCAATTCACTATAGTACTAAAAATAACTGCGAAAAATCGGTTTTATTGGACGAAAAGTTGACATTATCCAATGTTCAACATTATTCGTACATATACGTATATATATATATATATATGTACCCGCGGATAATTCGATTAAAACAAAAAAAAAAAAACAACTGAATGTTATTAATTTGAGTGTACAGGGAAAACGAATAGACACTGCAATGCCCCCACCCCTTCTCAGCGGGCGCGATTCGTTATGCGCCATATTATAATACGATAATCCCGTTTTGTCCGTCGTCGGAATTTGTCACCCTACCGTGATTGGAAGTTTTTCGCAGCATGATTAATTTTCAATGTTTTCTATCGTTTGAGGACACCTGTATTATCCGGGCCCCCCTCTCCCTCCCCGGAAACTCGACGACCCGATTCGCCACGGTGCATGGTCCGCTGCGGACTACCAAGGGCAATCGGTTTTACGTGGGAGACCCATAGTCACCGGTGTCGGTCAGTACTGTTTGCGAGCTTGTAAAGCGTCTATTGTGCAGCCTCCGAAGCGTTTTTGCAGTCGACAGTGAATTTGAAATATACGTGAGTAACCGATAGTCGTTTAATTTTAATATTTTTTTTTTCTTTTAGTATTACATATCGTTATAAATTACATGGTCAAAAAAGTTATTATTGGTACCACGCTCGAAAATATTACACACAGGTTACTGAACTATATAAGTATTTATAACCATCAGGCGTGCAGGGTGATTCTTTTCTACAAAGATTTCGAATATAATCGATTTTAGTTTGTTTCGATCGATTCGTAGAGTCGTTTACTACCGTGTGAATTGAGTAAAGGGACGTCCATCCGTGCAGTGGCGTAGCTAGGTGAGGCCACGGGGGCCATGGGCCTTTTCCGTCGGTAGTAGTTTTATTTTTTCTAATTACAACCGTTTCTTGTTACTTTATTATGGCGTATGCGGTTTATTTGGATATGTAATTGGACTAGAATGTACGGTATATTTTCAAACGCAATGAGAAAAATAAACGTGTAGTTTCGGGTTCGGCTGTTTTCGTTTCGCGTCTCATATGAGAAATCCTGGCTACGCCACCGGATCCATGCGTACATTATCTATCTGCAGCGTATAACGTATAGCTAGGCGCCTAGTATAATAGCCGTTATCGTATCGAATAATATCGAAATTCCGATCGTTAAAATAATAGGTGCACCGGTATTGTGCCGTAGTGGGTGCTATCGAGTTTACCAGATGTTTAAAATAGACAAAGTATTCCACGAGTGTACAATAGACCACCTCTCTACGCGTTTGATTAAAACTCGGAATGACCGGACGCCGATGGAAATCCGACACCGCCGCCGTTCATTACGATATCGTACAGTGTATCCAATACGTATAACCTAACTTAACAGCAAGTCGCGACCTCCGAGATTATTTCAACTGTATCCGCGAACAATATATTCGATCGAGTAACAAAATTATTCCGTGGACTAACACGACGCCGTTATAATGTGGATTTTTATCCGTATTGTAATTTGTTATATGTGAAAAAGCCACACATTTTTCGGACGCCTATGACGGGTCGGTTCCATTCATCGTTTGGGTCCGAATAGCTAGTAAAAAACCGTAGGATTTGAGGTTGACGGGTTTTAATTTTGAAAACGGATTTTGATTTATTAACGAGTTTACCGTAGGTTTTTACGATGCGTACGTAAACGCCACCAGACGTGTTATTTAATCCTATTTCTACGTATACATGAGAATTAATTGGAACAGATTTTCGTTTTTTTCACCGAGGAACCAATTCTGTAGTTGCCCATTTATTAACATTGAAAACATATCGTGGAAAATAATCGGCATTTCATGGTTCTGAGTGTGTATGTTTTATTTGCCAGCAAAAATCGATGTTTTTTTTTTCTAGTTAATAAAAATGTTCGAATTTTTTCATACAGTTTACATTAAAAGATGCGGAATTTTTGTCCGGCGGTACTTTATTTCAAAATACGTATGGACATTTTCAGCAGGTCCTTTAGCTTTTCGTTAATTACTGACATTAAGGGGGAAAACCCTAACCAATACTTCTGCGCTCAGAATCGTTGTTATTTCGCATTGATTTATCCGGTGTACAAACTAAATTACTCTGTATATCCATTGTTCTATCTTCCCGAACTGCATCTACCCACAAACACGAGTATTCAATAGTTCTATGGACACAACGGTATAAATACTGTAAATATTCGGAGTTAACAAAAGAGTTTATACAAAAACAAACGAAAACATAAGATGATATTATATTCGTCACGGTATGCAATTTTCCGTTTTTGCTTTTCCATCGGACAAAACTACAGTATTAATATGTTCGCGTAAAACAAACGCAAAATGCCTTAAAAGTCGGTTTCGGAAATTTACTACACAATTAATAGACGAGACGTCATTTCAGCTCGTTCGGTGTTTCACGTCTGTTCTCTAAATATTCAACTTGTGTTAACAACTATCATTTATTGTGTCCCAGAGTTCATGTTTTATATGATATTTATACATATTTTATAAATAAATATTATAGTTAAATTGGATTAATAATTGAACAAAACAGGAAGTTTTTTTTTGACGCGTTAATTAAAAAAAAAAAAAAAAAAACATAAAAATAATAATAAATCGTAATTTACAGGGTAACTGATATAATTTGTATTGTAGCTAATAAGTGCCCCCTAGGTGTGTAATTCGTTCCGCGACAAGTAATTGAATAATTGAAGGTGAAGTTAGGGTTGGATATATATATTAGTGTACTGTGACAATACAATTAAATTACAAACGTTTTACGTGAAACTAAATCCAAAATACAATATTACAGGCGCGTTAAAAATAATAAAAAAATATGATAAAGTAAACACGATATAGCGATATCATAATATGTACTCCGGTATTTTTTGCATAACGATAATCGATTCGTTTCTGAAATTTATCGAAGACTAAAATTAAAATTACAAAATACAGGTCAAATAATACGACGTGTTAACAATAATATAGGAACGGACCCAGAATGTCGATGGTAAAAACTAAAATACTCAAAATTGTAAACGTTTTAGTTTCTGAGTGGACCGAAGAATCCCATAGTTTTACAAAGATGTTTTTTTTTTCTATTCGGCTCAACTTTTCTACCAGAAATCTTGTTCAGATTTTTAAGTGTAGCACATTTTCCGAATGGACATCTGACTGGGAATGTACATTAAAAGGTCATTTTTCGATTTTCCCAAGATTTTTTCCAACAAATGTGAACAACCATAAAAAAAAAAAAAAACATGAGAAACCTGGAATATCGGTACATTAAACAATTATTATCAAAGAAAATATATAATAAATATTTAATTATTTTACCATAGGATGACATATACGTATATTATTGACAAAGCATCACTATCAACTGTACTCCGTTCAGAGTCGTTTTTTCGTTAACAATGGTTTATCGTTGCTTACACCTGTATACATTAAATTACCTGAAATAGTGGCTGGACCCGTCTACATTGTCCTAGGTGAACTAGCTTTTTTTTTTTTTTTCAAATCACGGAACCCGCCGAGGATGCGTCTATGTCGCATGACGTTTTTTTGTAATCACGAAAATTCCGATCCCCCGGTTTGTCTCAGCTGACGATTCGCGTTTTATTTCGTTTTTTACGGACTCTTGTCACTCGCCAAATAATAGCGACACCTGAACGCGTGCACGACAGTTTCCGTCAAATTCTCGAACAGATAATAAATACGAAAACTATACGGAACATTTCGGACGACCAATATTACCACGGCGGCTGTATAGGTTAGTTGCGGCCCGAAGAACCCTTTTCATCTAGAAACTTTATTGTCTATATATATTATTTATAAAAAAAAAAAAAAAAAAATCCATAAACGTAGTTACCGCATCGAAATTTATATTTAATTTAAAATAGAACAACGGTCGATGGACAATACTATAAACGTGTTGTTCCACACTAGCCAGCCTAACATAGTAACATTTATAACTTCGTTGATGTGTTACACGAAGTTCAATCTGAGACTGGTACGAAATTCAGAAGCATATTGGATTAACGACGAAGAAAACGTGTGAACAAGGAGCTCTTACTCGGGTAACACTAATAGGCCGATGTGAAGTGGTAATTACTATTATGAGACTGCAATTCGTAGGTCCGCAGCTCTCTTATAAGCCCGGAGCGCGATTCGTACGTGCATCTTATAGACTCGGGCCGCAACTCATACGTGTTTTAGGGATTGGGCCGCAATTCGCCGACACCGACTACGACCATATCGAGAGAAACTCCGTCATCGGAAAGCGTCACCGCGAATACTTATATGTAAGTCACTTTCAATAGACGCCGCCAAACCGTTCTGGCGATTTTCGAGTTATTTAGGTTTGGTTTTTGAAAATTTGACGTAAAGTCTACCAAAAGTCATACCCCCAGTAAGTACATTTCTTTATTTTTTTTTTTTTTTGTAGAAACGTTTAAAATTAAAATTTTGATGAAAATCGAAAAAATTACAGTGTACTGTCGTCCGATTTACGTGGATGCGATTTTTTTTTTCGGGCGCATAATAATATTAATAGTCGACAATATTGTTTTTGTGGTCATTCATATTGATACAATTTTAAAATTTAACTCGGAACACGCGCGGATTCCGCTCATTTTTAATCGGATAATTCTCGAATTAAACCGCCGCCCGGCGGCACACGCCGTCGCCGACTTTCCGTCCGCGGGACGCATGCAGTTTTTATTTTTTTAATTAAAATTTCCGACGATTTTTATTATTAGTATTATTCGTATCCTATTATTATCGCGACCGTTTTCCTTTAAGGTTTTTTTTTTCGCTGTACGTTTCCGAGAGCCGAATTGTTTTTTCGAAAGGACAACGCGCGCATTCCGGATAACAATAATTATCATCTTTCCGGAATTTTATCGCCGAAGACTGCGCCGGGCTCCGCGCCCGTCGTCGGGGACTCTGGAACGCCGTCGTCGACGCCGCGCGCCCGTCGACGGACTGGGGAAACGGTTTATTTTAAGACGTCGCCGGGGACCGTCCACCGCCGCCGTTGCCTTCGCCTCCTTCGTCGCCCTACCGACCGGCGCGCGCCTACCCGTCCGTCCGCCCTCGCCGCGCGTCCCGTAAATTAAACCTCCGCGGTCCGGGCCGACCCGACCCGCGCGCCGCTCGCCCCGTCCATCACCCGGCCGCCGTCCCGCCCTTTTCCGCCTCCGGGACCGCGGTACGCGCCGCGCGTGCAACTCGACCGGAACGCATTTTTCCGGGCCCGTCCCGTCGCCCGTGTCCGCCCGGGTTCGCGGCCGCCGAAATCGGTCGCTCTCCGGCCCCGACGGCGGCGCCTCTGTTATTGTACGCGTATACCTGTGCGACGACGTCCCTCTACGCCGCCGGTTTGGCACGCCGCTCGTTTCGCGTTCTCCCGTTTCCCCGGGTTTCGACGCCGGGGCGACGACGGACCCGCGGCCGTTAAAAACCGCTTTCCAACGGCTTTCGCGCGGCGTTTCTAATTTAGCGCCGCCGCGGGACAGAAGTCCGGCCGATCCGAAACCCCGGATAGAAACATATATTATACTCAACGGGACCTTTTAATTCGGATCCACGGGATTTAATCCGTCAAACATTATCATATGTGTGTGTGTATATATATATATAATTACGGTTAAAACGTGAATCCGGATCCGGACGAATCGGAGGCGCGGAGGCAAAAAGTAAATAACATATTAGTAATACTAACGTATTGTACAATGTCAATAAACTTTGTCGGTTTATTTTTATTTTTTTATTTTTCTGTTCAATAAGTATAAAACAAAATGATAAATACTTATACTCGTATTACTTATGAACACGCGTGAGTTACAGTGACCGTTGGTCGTATAACGATTTCGTTATCCTGTTGTCTGAAATGAATTGAATCGTCGATCCGGATAATCGATTAATCTGGCAATCCGGATTGCACGGATTTTTATCATTTTTCCCGACCCGGATTAAATACCCAAGTACTACTATCTATACACATAGAATATGACCAAATTTAGTTTTGTGTCCGGTGTTTCATGGAATTTTATTTCGTTTAGTGTGTTACCTGTAATATTATGAATTGCGATGACGACGACGATGACGTTGCCCTGTAGGAATTCTCGACGGTGTATGTACAGGGCGTAACACGAAGAACTAACACGTACAGTTTTTGTTTTGTTCGACGGTTTTAAATTTTTTAACAGATGGGACTGCGTGAATTTTGCCTTGCCGTGTTTTGAAAAATTGATTCGGACATTTATTGATGCACGGAGTAGCAAACTTGTCTACGATGGTTGTGAATTAGTTTCAGATTATTGGTGAAAATCCGGAGTTGATAGAATAAAATGTAGGGAGGTTTGGGGGGGGGGACTTCACAGATATTAAGTAGCGAGCACGTACACGCGATTTCAGTGCAATACAATTTTCGTAGGAAAACGAAAAATGCTTACCTTTTTTTTGTTGTTTACCCCGGAGGTGGATGAAAATGGACAGCGGGGAAAAACGATTATTCATTTTCAAAGGAAAACGGACCCGTCCGTCTCGAGTATACATAATGCCGTGTCTACGTTCGTCGTCTATATTAACCAGAAACGCGATCCAGAGCGTTCTGATGCAGGTGTGCGTGTGTACACCAAGACTTTTGGGATTACGACCCGAAGCTAATATAATAATAATATAATACGTCGTATTACAGATATAACGCAATAGTATCATGTCGTGTGTGTGTGTGTGTGTGTGTGTGCGTGTGCACGCACGGGTCACGCGAACCTGGAGAGAATATATTGTAACATATAAGGGAGAAAAAGCAAACTACCGCTGTAATACTTGTAGTCCGAGAGTCTCGTTTATATATAGGCATAGGCATAAGTGTATGCACTAAAAATAGTAAACAAAGTTACAATATATTTGGACAAACAAAAAAAAACAAAAATCTAAATGCAACGTGTTGTTGCTTAATACGCGTGTCGTGTGATTGGGATTGAGGGGCATTACTCCAATGAGCCAGTGATGTTTCTATAATTTTAGCACTCCTAATTTGCGCCCGTGTATACAGGGACATGGGTACTTATAGTTATAAATAATCGCCGAAACGTGTGCATATAAGTAGATTTTCGACAGTCGAACGCTCGAAATACTTCAATCGGATTGCGACCTGTTCGTATGTTGTATTAGTGGTGTGATATAAATCCGGATTATCTAAAAATCCGGATTTCGGATTTCAAAGTCCGAGAATACAGACTTCAGGTATAAAAATTTGATTTTTTTTTTTTTTTTAAATTCATTATATATACATACTTTTAATTAAGCCCCTCGATACAATCGTAAAATCGAAAATTTGAATTAAATGATTTTATAGAAGAAAAAAATTGTGGCCAATTTTAACGTGATTGTAAAAAATTATTATCAGACAATTCACATTATATTATAATGTAGTCTTTTTGTAATATTTACACTAAAAAAAAAAAAAATCTACAATTATGATCAGTTTTTGAATTGAAGAGAAAACGTCTAAAACAGGTAACGCAAAATCAAAGATTTAAAATCTGAAACTCAGATTTTCAATACACTCTCGTCTTTGGATTCAGACATTTTTTTTTTTTTTTTTTATGTATTTCTCTCCAATCGAAACGCCCGTTTTTATTAACGCCGGATTCGCGCGTGCGCGCGTTTTATTCCGTTTGAACTCCGAACGGCCGTGCCGCAGACGGTTTTCGAGACGAGTGTGGGGGACACCGGGGAATCGTGTACACCGGTGTCCAAAGTCGACCGGGGGTGGGGGGTGGTGGAGGGGAGGGTGGAAAAATCGTATCGTTCGGATATCCGACGGCCCGAACGCAGCCGGTCGTTTCCTGCGAAACGACGTGCGTTCCCGGTGTACCCCGCGTACACCGGGGGGCTGCCGTGACCGGATTTCGGCCGTGCATTATCGTTTCGCCGTTATGCGACGCGCCGTATTGCATTACGTACCCGGCGGGCGTATTGCCGCGTGGTACGGCCGTACACTTGACGTTTGCCGTGACGCGGTCAAACGTCCAACGGGGACCGGCGGCGTGACAAGCGAATCGTACCTCCGGACCACCGCCGCGTACCCCGTATCGCGTACGGTAATCCCGGGATTATCGTGTCTCCAGTCCCGAAAACCCCGGGACACGTCCGATTCCTAAAATCGCGTGACGGACGCGTGATCGTAATACCGTCGCTAACGCCCGCGTAACGAAATCCTAAAGTATAGATACTCATTCCCCCTCCCCCCCCCCAAAAAAAATACGCGAACCCGGTGTACGGTAAATTATGCCGGGCAATCCGTAACCGTCGTCGAAATGTACACGGCGACGGGAAAACCGTACTTCCGGAGAACGATTTCGAGAGGCGCCTACGATTTTCCCGGGATCGCGGTAACGGGAGTATGGTTTTTCTAGGGTCGCGGTAACGGGAGCGTGATTCAACTCGGACTATGGTATTGCCGAGGAGCTGTGACATTCCTCGGTGTTGGAATCGAACACACACCGAGCATTAATGAGATAACGGAATTCGTATTCCCGCCGGGCTGTCGACGATTCGCGATCGCGGTAACCACGGGTTTTTTTTTCTTATCATCATTTCTCTCGTCGTGTTCGCGGTCGCCGTATATGTTTTGTAGACCAAAAAGTCACAAAAAAACACAAATGCTCCCACGGTCGCAATAGGTAATAACTAATTATTATCGCTAAGTCGGTCAGGGCTCAGTTTTTCGCGCCTGTTACGCGAATAATAATAATAACAATTATTGTTATCTCTCGTTTTCTCTATATTATAAAAAATATGTATTAAATGCATATTGAGCAACACAACATAATAAAAAAAAAAAAGTTGTATTGCATTGTATTGTTATGACGTATGTTACTCCAACGCATGCAAGTATAACAACAATGTGATGCGTTCAAGCCGAATTTTTTTACGTAAGCTGTAATAGTATCTAATTAAAAAAAAAAAAAGAAAACCATCGAAAGGTCATGCACAAAAACATTGTAAATAATATTTTCTCGCATAAAAAATGTACGGATTTTACGCTATAGGTACTCCCGTAAACGATTTTGTTTTACAGTATTCGCATGCAATTCATGTACGTTTCGAAACCGTGGAATACATAATTATTGTTCTAACACACTTTACGCATTATAATACGATGTTATAATGTACAATATATAATTTAGTAAAGTTTCTCACATATGCGCGAGAAGGGTTACATCAAATATTAAAATTAAAAAAAAAAAAAAAATTAATGAATAAAAAATTAGGTCAGAATTAGGTAACTATGTAATACGTATACAGAGCCGTCCAAAGTTTTTTTTTTTTTTTGGGGGGATGGGGGAAAATCAATTCCGGGGCCTCCTCGATCGTCACAATATGATAACAGAATACAAAAAAATTGTATGTAATTGTTCAACCGCGTTACGTTTTCAATAAATTCACAGCAATATTTTATCAGCACGTTTAATGGGAATGCAAATCGTATTCGTAGCTATTAGCGTATAGGCTACTTAGCGTTTGAAACTTTTTCCCAGAAGATTGCATTCGCGAATGCAATTATATTTTTGGTTTTTAGCGAATGGCGAATGCAAAATCATTTTGCGTCAACATTTGAACGCGAACAATACATGTTTTTTTTTATCCTTAATAGTATAACAAGAATAATTAATAATTATACGCATTTTTTTAAAAAAAAAAAAATATTATTTCAGTAGTTAAACTAACGTTAAAATATTGACATTGTTAAAAGTATATACACTATCATACATTGTACAATTTGTAGATAGTTTTGTTTTGATTTTTTTTTTTTTTTTTCTAACTTGCGCAAATAAACGCTTTTCAAATTTCGACGGGAATTTCGATGCGAATTACGGATGCATCACGTATTATTATTATTCGATTATACGGGGTATCATTAGAAATTACAAGTCCATCCTGTCGTTTTCTAGTGACCCGGCTTTAAGGGGACAAGACGTTTCCGTAACCCGGGACCCGCAGGAAAACGATCCCGTTTCCTCCCCTCCCTGAACGGCTCCGTAACTATAATACCGTTTAGTCATTAAATAAAAATTATTATATTAGTTTATTATCATGTACATACAGGTAACAAACAACATACTTTTCCGTTTCGGTGGCTGTCGGTTTTCCGTGAAATCCCTTGCGCATGAAATTTGCCCCTACGATTATCGTTTCGACATTTTCTCGTACGGTAATGGTTCGTTAAATTTTTACAAAATACGACGCGAACCCTGCAAAGGTATACGAAACCGAGAGAGAGAGAGAACAATAACGGCGGAAAAAGAACAGTGGTCGTACGCGGGAGCAGATAACTGCCAGTACAAAAATAAACGGATTTGAACATTTAAAATCGCCGTGTCGTTTCGATTTCCGTATCCGAAATTTCATAACGATCGATAATATTTCTAAAAACCGTAAACGAAACAAACCGCCGAAACGCTCTGAACGGTAATGTATACGGGGTTTTTTTTTTTCTTTTTACGGAACAATATTACGTACGTTGGTCACGTTGTGACGTCTCCTATAGACAACGCCGGACGGGCCGCCACGACCCGGTGAATATCAGAGGGCCCGATAATCGCCCCTATAAGACAGTTAACGAAGGGGGGAGTGGTGAAATTCGGCTGCACACGAATCGCGTCCCAAAATATAAAAAAAAAAACTCCGATACCGCTAATTGTGATCCAGGATATTCTGAGCGACACGCGAATTGCGTTGGTTCCATCTGCAAATTATGTTTCTATAAATTTATTCTGTGCTTTTCAGTTGTATTTCAGTTTTATACAGATTAACAATAATACGCAATAAAATTGGATTAACAATCGTAGCATCGTTCGTGCGTCGCCTGTTTAGTCGTACAATTTTTTGTAACGCGTAGCGCTCTAAATCAATATTGTTAACAAAATGAATTCGGCGATTTAAAGTGAAAAAAATAAAAATTTAATTTTGTACACAGATGCATTCAAATTTCGATACCGTAAAACACCGAGAGGACGTTAAACTCCCATCTACCGTCTCGGTGCAACCGTCGGTTTACACGCAAAACCGATGTTCGCGGAGAATGAGTAAAGCTTGATTTCGGTATTAAAGTAAAAGCGTTTGTTATAAAATATACAGAGAACGTTATTTCGGTGACAGTGTCTCGAATGTTTTTCGAATTACGAACTTTAAAACAGTCACGGTTACGTATAAAACGCAAAATAAAAAAAAAAAAAAAAAGGTTTTATATCTTTTATATCGAGCTGTGCATTTCGAATAATACAAAAACCCTATGTGCGATACTCTCTCCGAAATATTTTCCTCTGTGTAAATGTCATAACAGGTACACGTTTACTCCGGAGTCAAAATCGAGCTAGTTTCACATATTCCGCGTGAGCATTGTTCTTGCATATTATCCGGTAGTCGGACCGAGACGGTAGACGCGGGCGCGGCGTCCTCTCGAACGTTGGAATTGCTGAACAAAAAAAAAAAATAATAATATGCGAGTCGTGTATTAAACCGAATATAATAAAAACGGCGTTACAGTCGTATCGAAAATTCCGCCGGATCATTTAACAGACGAAAATTGAATAGGGCGGTCTAAAGCGTAAAAAGACTCTACGATAAACTCATCCGAAACTTATTCACGGAACGTTCCAAAAGACATTTCGACATCGATGGTCGGCGCGGTTCGACCCGGACCCGTAACGATGTTACGCACCGCGTCGGGTCATCTCGCGAAATTCCAAAACCGCTAAAAACCGCCGTGACAGTAGAACGGCACCGGTTGCCGTTGACACTTTGACGGCCCGTACAGCCCCAGAACAGAACAGGAAGGAATGTCGCTTTTCTTTTTTTTTCTGTATCTACGACGGGACGTGATGAAAAAAGGGTTTCGGGACGCGATTCGCGTGCGGCGCGATATTCACCGGCAAAACCTTACCGAACGCGGCGCGACGGGTGGTGGTGAATTTTCGCGCGGACGCCGTTACGGTTACGCAGACCGGTGCGATAATTGTTTCGCTACCGTCGCGGGGTGCCGTTACGTCACGGCGTCGCAGGAAACGCGCGGCCATTAGCCCGCGCGGCGGCGGCGGCGACGGTGAAATAATCGCGTACGCGAAACAAAAATAATAATTATCGGCCGTGTCCCGCGCGAGCGTTTCCGATTTCCGGAACGGAAACAATAACGTTGTGTTATCGGTCGAACGCGGGATTATTCGACGCGTATTCATCCCGGGGGGGGGGGGGGGGGGCGGCGAGGCGAACGGGTTTCGGGTAATTATCGATAATGTTGCCCGCACGATAATTGCCGATTCGTTCGCCAGCCGCGGTAATGCGCAGTTTATACAATACAATAAATAATTATTGTAATCGTAAAATGCGCGGAGAACGCCGCCGCCGCCGCCGCTAAACGATTGATCGAACAATTTGTCGACGGGAGTCGTCGGATTTCGATCGCGTTGCATCAATCGCCGTGCAGTACGGTATATTTTCGTTTTTTTTTGTTCTTTTGTCAATTATAAAAAAATGTATAGTATAAAAACAAACAGCATTTAAACATTAGGAAAAAAAAAAAATAATAATAACAAGTACAACAGTAAAAAGAACAATATAAGAGTATAATAAATAACAATCGTAATATAGTAATAGTAATAAGATAGTTTCAAGCATAAAAAAAAAAAAAAAAAAAAAAAAATGGAAAAGAAAACGCCAACTGGCGTTTCGTGATCGTGTTCGTGTTTATGTGGCACAGCAAATCATTTAGAAATAACAAAATTAAAAAAAAAAAAAAAAAAAAATTAATAAAAATATATCGCGTGTGTGTATAAGAAAACAAATATTATTATTATGTATATAATAATAATAATAATTATAATAATAATATAGTAGTAAATCGTCGGAAGAAGTGTGTAATATTTGTACGTACAGAGAGATGAAAAGAAAAGAAATAAAAAAATTGATGCGTATAGTAAGAAAACGTACCTAGTCTTCTAATTCTGAAAAGTATGTAATGCAACTGGAGAATTGCCGAGGATTCCATTACACATATATTTTTTGGTGATCACTTCAACTCCGTACAACAGTAGTGCGGTATGGAAAAACTTTGGCAAACAAACAAACACAAATACATTAAAAAAAAAGAAGAGAAAAAAAAAAAGTAATAGTTCGAAGAAAACAAAATAATTTCACGTTGTTTTATTATTATTGTTTTTTTTTTTTTTTTTTTTTTTTTCGTTTCGGTTTTACTCAGTGTAAATAATTGACGTGCAGTGTGCACCGAGTCGCCGTCGCGACGTTTGCTACGGGTATAACCGATAAATATCGTTATGCAGTCGTATCGTTTTGGTTTAGTTTAAATTTTTGTTACTTAAAATTAAATCGGGCGTCATGATATTTACATATTGATGATCTGAAAAAAACGCGACACGGTTTTCAAAGCTGGCTACTGCAGACCAGTAGTCAGAAAGCCAAGGCGAACCGTTACTTTTTTTTACGACCCTAAAAGTTTAGACTGTAAACGAACGGGTGGACATTGTATAGTAACTGTAGACGTACGATTTTCGACATGGTCAGAGACACGTGGTGTCGCGATATCGTGACAGAAGGAATAAACACGTCCAATATCGAGGGACAAAATCAGTTAACCGGTCTCTTTATGATTTCCTTAAACATTCTCTGTGTCAATTATTTAACGATATTGCTGTCTTAGCGGTACTATATGCAAGGTACGGCGGACTGTTGTACGGTATCCGTTTTGGACGGTTGATAAATTAAAACGCCCAACTTACTGATATTGTTTTACTGACATTGTTGTTTTTATTTTTTATTTTTTTTTTTTTTTTTTATAATAACTATAACTTGACATTAATGAGTTAGACGGACTTTTCCGTCTAACTTATCGACTAGTATCGAAATTATCGTCGAAACGATACTGCAGATTATCTCAAGATAATCTACCGGCAGGTGAGGCGGCGCCGGAGCATCTGAAGACCGTCAATACTGCAAGATTCTGGCAGTGTCGGTCTTATTTTGGTATCGTTCGTGTGTACTTACGTCAAGTATCTTCTTTCGCCTGGTCTCGTACTAATAATATAACATTTTGACAGCGTTATAACTATTGTTATAATTATTATACAATCGAGTGTATCGAAATACGCGGTTTGTTGATTTTTTTTTTGAATTTTTAGCATTGATGAAATCGATTAATCGTGCAAGCAGGTTTCAAATCAAAAAAAAATGCGTATCGCACACGTGTTGTATGTACGCATACATGCTTACAGCTTTACACAATAACACACACACACACACAAACACATGCATAGGAGTTTATATAAACTATATTTTTCCCCCAGGGTCCGCGGAAAAAATAATTAAAAAACCGTTTTTTCCTCAGATTTTTTTCCCGAAAATTAATTTTTCAGGTACTTCGACTGCAATTTTCTGACTTTTCGGGAAACTCATTTTCCCTGAACTGTTGATTCTTACACGCAATAATATGTAATATCTAGAGTCATTCACTTATTATGAACCAGTGATTTTCTCGGAGAATTCGAAGTAAATTTGATTTCTGTTTTAATTTTTTCAACTCTTTTAAAAAATCCATATATCTTAAACGCGTATATACTTTGGATTTCCTACACCCACTGCCTTTTTAAAACACAGATTAAAATAGATAATATATATTTTTAAATGTTTACAAGCGCAACATTAGCTTGATCCTTGCGTACTTCTCTGGCGTAATTTTTAAACGGTAAACTTTTAGTGATATGCATATCAACATTTCTAGAAAATATTTTCTCTAATTTGAATCTATGATTGAAAAGGGAATTTCTAATTGAAAATCCAAAGTAGATCCTCGTGTCAGGTATAAGGAGTGGGACGGGAAAATTCAAAATAGTGTTAATATAAAGATTAAATTATTCCATAATAATTAAAAAAAAAAAAAAAAAACAAAAAACATCAAATTCACTTAACCCCTCCGATAAAATTATTGGTTCATGGTAAGTGAATTACCCTGTATTATTGTTAAATGTATACACTTAAGTATAAAAAAAAATACGGAGTAATAAGCGCCTCTTAATGGATGGTTGGTGTGTAATACGTAGTCGTATAACAAAATGGGAAAGAATATTATTATTATTGTTACGAGAAGGTGCTTATATATACGATTTTCGTGATATCACTCGTGTCTTTCTGCAACACTATGCGCGCGATTCAATTTGGCGAAAAAGCTTTTAGACAAATTACTGTACAGCTACGTATATTATAGAGCCTTTACCCGGTCTCCCATAAAATCTCTTAAGACTCGGCTGAAAATCACCGTAGCCATTAGTCACAGATTTAAGTATACACACGTATATGTGTTGTGTATTTGTGTATCTGGGGGCTTTATCTGTTATCCGCGGTCGTTTGAGGTTGATAAGAAACATAATCCGGTGCACGAGACGTCGACATCGGAGAGAAACCACAAACCGCAAGATTAAAAAAAAAAACACTATTTTGATATCTGCCATGTAATACTAAGATGTTTTCGATTTGTGGATAAACTGATTGATAATTAATCGCGCTATTAAAAATGGTTGTGTTGATTCGTATTGACATGTTGAACTCGTACTGACTATGCTTTTTGATTCTGAGCAAAGCGCGAACGTATTCGGCTTTTTTTCGAATTTTTCCAGAAAATAGAGATTATTGCACTGAATTGTGTCTGTTGTATTAGTACAAATATATGTATATATACATTTTTTTTTCCGGTACATTTAAATACTTTTAGCGGCTTCACGTGAACCAAATGAGATTAAACTCGGTAATTAGAGTTTTTTTTATAGGCAGATTTCAATGATAAAGTCTTGGTTGAATTGCAGTATAATCTTCGCCATGGTTTTGTGGAAGCTTTTAAACTTTATACACCCTTACAGGGCTCCTAAATCAATCAAGGGAAATGAAATTGTATATATCCACGGTGTAAGTACATCAAGAATGTGCCTCGTGGTGGTTTTGACTTTTAAAACTCGCCCGACCGTTTTTATGCTTTGATTTCATCGTTTTACGGGGTTTTAATTATCCCTGTAGAATCACGAAATTAAGTAACTTAAGTAAAATTAGTATAGTATATAAGTATAATCTTTGTCGAAGATGTACTTTTAGAAGGTTTGAATCCCACTGACGGTTTGTATGTTGGAAAAACTCTCGAGAACTACTTTACCTTATTTGATTAAACATTTTTTTGTTCAATTCCGTATCTGTATAAATAAAGAAAAAAACCTGAAACATTTGAAATATTGTAACGGCATCAAGTTGACTGGGAGATAATTTGAGTCAAGTTCTATTTCTGTTTTTGTTTTTTTTTTTTAATTTATAAGAAGATAGACGCTGACAGGAGTGGATTCTAAAGAGTTGGCATAGTTATTACCGTAGTGAAAATGATTAAACCGGGAGTTTGTCACCTTTTCGGAAATAAGACGTATAATCAATAGTAAACTCAAAGAGATTATTCCGCCAATATAAAATTATATATTTATGTTAAACTCTAAGGTATAATACACAATTAGCCTAATGTAACATAATTAAAATTGAAACGCGTTATTTTTTCTAGTTGATGTAACGAACAAATTAATTGTGAAGTTAATAAAACAAAAGAAATCAAAGGTTAAAAGAGTTTATATTAACTTTTTAACTTTCTAACTCCCAGCTCTGGGTAAATTATTAATATCGCCTCATTACTTACGAGGCTTGTCAGCAGTCCATTCAAAAATCTTTTGTCAAATTTCGAATGGTTTTTGTTTTTGTTTTTTTTATTAATTTACCGTTCGTCGAAATTCCAACAAATTCACATGGTTTGTTCAAAATTTGATCCCGTAATACTGAAAAAATGTCGTCGTCGTTTCGCCATAAAATCGTTTGTCACTGAATAATATTACTATCATGAACTATACGACTATAATTATTATAAATACGTTCGTGACCAGCGTAAATAAACTTTTCGTTAAGAAAAAAAAATCATCTTCTTTATTTAAAAAAAAAAAAAATGTCCCGTAAAAATTATGAAAGCTCCCGTGTGCCACTCTCGTACTAAAGAAATTAAAACCACGCCATTGTAATTTGTTTTTGTAAACCCTCTGGTTTTCCGGTTTTTTTCCCTCTGTTTTTACGACCGAAACCCCTGAACGTACATAAATAAATTCCTTCGTCTCGCCGCCCACAATAACTCATCGTCATATTATATACATAGTTTTTTTCCCCTCGGAAATTCGTAACAATGTTACGGCAAAATTCGCACGCCTTTGAATATACTAGATTAGTGTATGCTAAATAAATTAATATATTGTCATGTATTCGAATACACATGCGTATTATTTTTAATATTTAACATTTCAATCGTGTCGATAAAAGTGATGTGGGTAATGAGGAAATTTAGTGGTTATATTCCCCCTTCTCAAATCGGACCAAAAATGCTGTAACGAAAAAACAACAGTAACTATTTATTTAAGAATACCTTGAAATGTATAGATTTTAGCCGAAAAGTTTGATTTATCATTTAAAAAACTGACCCCATGGATCCGGATTTCAAATTGCTACAATCGGGTTTGGTAAAGAAAATGATACTAATGATACCCGTTGAAAATTCCTGGGCACGCCACTGATAAAGTCATGTCTCGAGGTTAGATTTTTTCAATATAATTATATTTGAAAACACTTTATCGATATAAAATTAGTTTCAACGGTATTCTATACCATAGAAATCGAGGAAAAGATTTTCAAAATTAAAAATGTCCTAGGTACGAAAGTCTCTAAACTCAAAAATGTTACGATTGTAGAAATATGTGATCTAACAATTTTTCGCAATTTTCCCCCTGGAAAAAATCGTAAATACGCTACTGCGGATATGTTTATACTTGGGCAATTTTTAGAGATTCGAATTGAACGGAAGCGACTTTTCGCCAAAGATTACAATCACTCATATGTGCATAATTCTAAGCAATTTTTATTTTCAATTATTTTTAAACCGTTACGTTTATTTATAACAATAATTCTCGATGATTCGAAATAGCAACTGTCCGCTCTATAGTATTCGATTTACGTTTAGCCATATTTGACTACTAGACAATAACTATCAAAGTTTTTCGTATGACACACTCCGACTTTGAGTGATCGAGTTTCGAAATCATTATTACGGGCGGTGAAATACATTTTTTCCCGATTATCGCCGTTAGCAAATATTATATTCTTGCAGACTACCAACCGATAGCGATGATTACCCGACGCTGACGTGACGGTTATAAAAAAAAAAAAAAAAGTTATTAGTTTCATTATGATGTATGTGCGTGCGTGTGTGTATTTTTTCTCGAAAAACAATTTTTTAACGAGTAAAATGCTCCGATTTTTTCACATAATAACTAAGGATTACTAAAAAAAGATATTTTGCTCACCGGTACCTTGTTTAGAAAAACATGTACAGATTCTTAACAGTTTTTCTATACAGTTAAAAAACCCGACAGCAAAGTATGGCCGTGCCTTGTGGTTTTATTGTTGTCGATTTTTAGATTTTCAGGAGAAAAAACACGACAAATATTACTCCGTCCCAAATCGTTTTTTGATTGCAATGCATTAACGTAACGTTCAGTATCTATAAAAATTAAATTACTCTATTATATATTCTAAATATTTCAAAATTCCCGTCGTCTACTACGGGTGATGACCTACTTCCATGTGTGAAGTGCGTCCAATTTTTTTGTTTTTGTTTATTTGTACCACATTAACCATGTTATTTATTTCTAAACTACGCCCGCGAATATGAATACAAGAAGGAAAACTACGTCATATTGTTCTGCATGATGCGAAATTCACAGAATCGCAGTGTCCGGTGTAAAACGTGTGTTTTTTTTTTTTTTTTTTTTTTAAATAACGTGCGAATTTAATTGTCTGTTCTTTTGAATATTTCAGTTCACGGACGATATAATAAATTATAATATTTGGACCGGCCCGAAATATGGGCGGGCCGTGAGTATTTTACGGCCAAAATTCTGTAGATTCGGTACCGTTGTCACCGCGATATAACCGGGATGCTTGTTTACAGATTCTATCCGAGTTCGGCCCAAGTGATATGTAAATGTACACCCTGACATGGTTTTTAACCGCCTAGGACCTAGGTTTTAGGTTTACATTTAGAACACTAACTTCCTTCAAACCTAATCGGGTTTTCACTGATAGGTAGATTAAGTTTTTCTATAACCCCTCTGTTTTATTCACGGTTATGGATAATATAGTAACGTAACGGCATATATTATTTAACATTGAGCACAAATTTTGAGCAAAGTGACAAATATGCGCAGATCATCACGTAATCATATTACCCACAGTCTATATTATCTAGTAGTGGCTTTATCTAAACTCGTGGCGGCTTTTCGCCAACTGAGTATTGGTTTTAGATTCATAATAAATTAGGACACTAACTTCCTTGGAGAAGAATCACGTTTGAATCATCAAATAAGTTATTTTCTGTGAAAATCAAAAAAATATCCTAAAGCGCCAAAAACCAACTCAGTTGCGTTACAGCTAAAGCCGGACTCGTGTAGGATCTGGAAATATAATATAACCCGGATCGATCTCAATATAATATAAGGAAATCGCGATATTTCATTTGTCCTCTTTATCGATTTTTCTATAGAGCGATCAATTTATCACGAACCAACCATGTTTTCGGAGGACAATAGGTTAATTTGATTTCTGTTTTTTTTTTTTTTATCATTATTAGATTAAGTTTATTAATCTTATTTTACCGATTATTTTACTCTTTTAAACCTGAGATGAGTACTCGTCCGGTCTAAACTTAAAACTGTAAAACTCATAAATGGTAAATCTAATCTGCTATTTATTTTAACATTTCTGGAAAAATATTTTCCTTAATTTTGAAATGGAGATTGCTAACTAAAAATCTAAATTGGATCTTAAAGAAAAATCTCATTTCAGGTATAAAAAGTCGGGGAACGAACTGAAAAATAATGTTAATATAAAGATTAAATGATTCCTTAATGATAAAATAAAATATACTCCGAGAAAATTGCAGATTCACGATAAATTGATCATTCTGTATAGTTCCGACGTTTCTCCTTACTCGTCTTTATATCTCAGGAAATACTTTTTAAGGTAGCAAAAATGCGCTGCGATTTTACAATATCGTAGATTATTAAAAAACGTGGATTTTTTTTCCCGGTGGTAATTATAGTTTGATCATTTTTTTTATAGTTTTCTTAAAAATTAAAATGAAATTAACGTATGACGATGATGAATACATAGTTTTTATAACCGATTTCCGCGAGTTATCTTACCAATGAATTTACCGAGATCGGCTCAGAATCGTTTTTTTTTGTCACGTTGACTTATCTTCGCTTTCGGTAAATAGTAAACTATAGTTAACTGCCATATTATCCTAGACACATAGAAAGTGTAGAACTGCGGTCGTCTGTAAAATCGGGGTTTTTTTTTTTTTTTTATCGCTCGTACATTTCAATCTACAACAGTGTAAACTCGTCCCCGTTATCGTTCCTCGGCCGGCGGCGATCGACCGTCCGGAACGATCCTGGGCCGGACTTTTGACGACTTTCGAAGACATTTAAATCCGATTGACGGTTTACGAATCCCGGAGTCGCACACGTAATATTAATATTATCGCGCAGTGGGTACCACCGGTTATTCGAATGGCAGCTCTCGCGAATGACAACGACGGTGACAGCTGACGAGGTTCGATACGACAGTCTACGTTTTCCGGCACGCGCGTTTATTACAATATTACAGTCGTAAATTTGTCACGCGCGTTATTCGAGACGTTTTGAGCGATCGGTACGAGATATACGTTTTCCGGCACGCGCGTTTATTACAATATTACAGTCGTAAATTTGTCACGCGCGTTATTCGAGACGTTTTGAGCGATCGGTACGAGATAAATAATAATAATGATAATAAAAAAAAAAAAAAAAAAAAACNACGTCGCACGTCAAACAGAACGCGGTCCCTGCAGACGGAGACGCTTTATATTATACACGTGCACAATTCATGACGTATTTCGACTAAAAGTCGCACGCGAATATCATAATAATTGTTAAAATTGTCGGAATCATGCCGGATATGCCGCGAAATCGAAATGTCGATGATATTATGTATACGAAATGATTATTACTATGGATTCAAATGCATTAGAAATCATCGAAAAATTCTCTAAAAAATATATTTGAAAAATCAATTTTACCGGGAAAATGCCCTTAAAAAATGATATATCAATTGCCTTAAATTATTTTGTTACTGTATAATTTATAATATTTTAATTTTATAAAAAAAAAAGAGCTTATACTGGGGATGGGAGCAGCCACTGTTGTAGGGGAGAAGTTCGGGAGGTAAGATATATAAGGTTATTTCATTTACATCTGTAAGTAATGATAAACTAAAGATTTAACGAAAAACAATTCCAAGCGCAGTTTGGTAACACATAATTTGAAGTGACCTAATTTTTTTTGCGATTATCGTTTAAATTTGATAACAAAACGCTTATTAAAAAAAAAAAAAAGTTTTCTGATGATTTTGAACATTTTACCATATTGGTAAGTCCAATATAAGTATTAATACAAAGTTTCTAGTCCCTAAGTGGGTTTATAACCGAGTTATAGGAAGAAAACTCCCAAAAATTAAAATTCCTTAAGAGCTCAAAAGTCGCCCGAAATTATTAGCGAAGAAACCGTAAGAATGTAAATCATAAAGGCGAATAAAAAGGTGTTTTGTGATTTTTCGATTAAATCATTTTTTTTTTGGGTAGAAAACGTCGTCCGTGTTTTTATGAGCTACGGCCGGAATCTAAAAAAAAAAAAAGAAAAGAAAATCAAAGAATTTGAATTGTGACTATTACCGACGATATTATTGACTGAGGTGATATATCTGACTGATTGACTGTAGAACCCGAAAACTATGAGTAATATTTCGAATCACCTAAATTTAAATTATTAAGTCGGATCTTAGACCAAAATATATACCAAGTATGTTTAATCGATGGTCGTATCACGTACAAATACAATATTATACTATACCCGTAGATTGTACGAATACGAATATGCAAAAACAAAGTAAAATAAAAATTTCATCTTCGGAGTCTGTTACGTGAATCGAATTGTGTACTTGGTTAGCGTTGTCTAATATCGCTCAAAAAAATATGCATTTCGCATTGAAATTTGGGTCCTAATTATCACACAACCACTGCAGTCGTCAGTTAGGTTTTTTTTTTTTTTATAGGAATTCTGTTAAAAATATTCGTAGAAACCTGACATTTTCAGAAAATACTTATGCGATATTAGACATTTTTTAAACGTGGTAGAATTTTTTAAAACGTTCTATCAATTTATGAGATATTCATAAGAGTTTTAAATTTTTGAGTTTTATTTAGATTTATGTAGAAGAAATTGTTTTCGCCAAACAGAAATGCTTTGAATATTTACCACGACTCACAATATATTTAAACATATTATTGTTGTTATTGTTTCGTAATTGTTTCAAGTTAAAATTTTGTTAAGAACCGTAAAAACTACGGCATTTCAAAACTCTACAATTGAACTTCACTACGAATCGTATTTTCATAGCAATGGTTTGCTTTCCCGACTTTTCACCTGTCAAAGTGGCGCACACATTAGCGATATCTACACTTTTCTGTCCGTTAACAATTTACCTACCAGAAATCTTGCTCTAACCTAACCTGACCTATGATTTTTCTGAAATAATCGAGAAAACCGGTATTTATTTCTATTGATTTTCGGTATACCTCGGCAACAACGAAAACAATGCCGTTAATAATACTCGGCTCAGAATCGTTTTTCGTTAGCGACGGCTTTTCCCCGCGTGCAGATACGGATCACGAATATAAATCGTCTCGTCCATTTTTCCTCCCGAAACAGTGGCACGCCCATCGTCGTCCGTTATTTTCGTAACGATTTGTAAATTGGTTCAACGATTGGTTTCTCCATTCCTGTACGCCCGTCCATACCAGCAATACCCTCGGATTCTGTATAGGACCGTCTCGCCGTATCCAACGCGTCTATTTCTCACTCGTTCCCCAGCGAGTCGTCCCCCGGCGCACTGTAACGTGCATATTTTTCGGTTTTATTATTTAAAAAACAAACCATAGACGGAGGAGATAGAGCTCTGCTGCGGCTCACCGGGTTTTTTTTTTAAAATTTTTTTTATTCCGTATCGTCGTCTCATTCCGTCTCGCTAACGACGACGGCGACGAAACTCTAGAGCGTATAATATTATTTTAGGTTACATTTAGACGCGGTTAAAGGACAATATTATTATAACGAGGGCCCGCCGAGTTGCCGTAACGTAATTGGAAGTTATTCGCCCCGCCGCGATTACAAAACCGCGCCGCACAAAAGATATTGTTACAATATAATATTGTACGCAAGAGCGGCGACGAGACAAGAGACGCCCCGTGTATTAAGTGTATTATCGCCGTTAAAATATTACGACGGGCCACACAAAAGACGTGTCATCCGCGGTATCCACGGTTACGCGCCAACGTCGTTTTTGTGTTCGGCCCCGGACCGACACGGCGTTTTGTACCTACGCCGCCGCGGGCCTTTACGGGCGCTACGGTCTCCCCCGCACCGCCGTAATAATATACGTACAGTGTTAGACGCGCGCGCGCGTGTTCCTGTCCGTTTTGTTCGGCCGACAAACAATATTGTCGTTCCCGGGGATTAAGGGGTTAAACCTTTCGGCGGACGACCAGCCGGCCGGTCCCTCCGAGGACGCGCGGTGACGAGACGGCGCGCTGACGGGCCGCCGCGGGTTTAAGTCGCGGACTCGTTTTTGGCGTCGAGGGATTTACCGCGACGTTTCCGCGGCACGGCGATTATGTTTTCTTGTATTTTTTCACGCCCCGTGCGCCGTGCGCCCGGCCCCGAACGACGTCGCCCGTCATGCCGACGTAATAACCTAACGCCGGTCGTCGGTCGAAGCGCCGTAACGGTATACGGTCGTCAGGGGGCCGGGGACAAAGGTCAAACGACTTTTACCGCGCCGCCGTCGCTCCGCGGCCGCGATGGATAAACGGGTTTGAGTACATTATCACATTGTACGGTGTCTGTCGGTCGGTGATTTGTCGCGTACATTTTTCCCCTTTTTTTTCCCCACACCCCGAATTGCCTTCCCAGATCGAGGCGGGTAGTGGGGGCGCGTTAGCATTGCTTACACACAGGTAACCCAACCTAACCGAACGGGTATTCATAGCGTCGCAGGAACAACTTAGTATGACGACGAATCTTGTACACTTACAATCGTCAAGCGTTTTCCAGGCGCCAAAAAAATATTTTATCCACACGAAACGAAATAAAAACGAAAACGAATTTCAAATATTAATTTTGTTTTTTTTGTTTTTATTGCCTTATTCGAAAGATAATACAACGTGACGATTATAATTCAATATTTTATATTAAGACGCCAGCGTCTAAGATGAAGTTAACAATTAAAGTGATTATCGAGGTGGAACGGGAGTTTAGAAGAAGTTTAAGTTAAGTTAAGTTTAGTTGAGTTGTCAGGAGATAAATATCTGTAGAGGATAAGAGCAGAAAAAAGGGTTTTAAAATTTAAAAAGTGTCAGATAGGGGCAGTAGAAAAGAATATCACAAATATCGCAGATAACTTCATTAATATGAAAGGCGCAAAAATGTAGAGAAAATCTGAATGAGTGGCAACACTGTATTCGAGACAAAGACGTGTAAAATAAACTGTATAATAGATCTACGAGGTTCAGTCCTCTAAACCGTGGATGGGGGAGGGGATGGGAGGAGATAATCCAAGCAGAAAAACTAGCAGATAGAGAACGTCATACAGGGATAACTAGACCTTATTTAGAGTAGAGCGGTAGAGAATAAGAATGTTCGGGGCAAGGATTTTAAACAAAAACGTGGCCGCACAAAGGATTTGGCGGATGCAGCGCGAATATCGGTAGTCTCGTTACTCGTCATTCCAACGCGGTTAGGGACCCGGAGAAATTTGAATTCGATCACGTCTAATACAAGGGCTAATATCGTAAGTATTCAACGATAGTTTCGGGTCTCCGCGGGTGTTTTTCGCCGAATTAAAACGAAATAACGAAATCGAAAGTAACGGGGATCGTTATCGCGTGACTCGCCGGGAGTCTACCACGAGTCAAAAAAAAAAAAAAAAAATAAACGTCGCATCAACTAGATTCGAAATGTTAAAGGAAAGTTTCTTTAAAAATGTTTTAATTGGCGTGAGATATCTAGTGGAAAAGTAACCGCATTAACCGGACATTCAAAAAGGAAAACAAAATCACCGTAAAACCGTTGCGTTCCTCGCCGCACTCAGATTTTAAAACGAGACCGATTAGAGGCGCTTTAATTTCACCGTCTCCTCTCATAAATGTACATAATAAAGGCTAACGTCTTCCCGTAAACATCTATTATACATTGTAACGTTCTGTAATACGACCGCGAGAAACACATTACGTTATACAGGCTGTACAGCGTACGCGGCGCGACGTAAACGGGAAATCAGTTCTTGCCGTTAACATCGCCCCTTAAGCGCGGCCGTGATACGTGTTTTGCACCGAAACCCAGTGCGGAACGCCGTGACATATCGCGCTCTAATGCCGACCGAGAAACGATTCTGAGCAGGGTTTAATATGCGTGGCGATGTCGATATAAACTGTCGATTGCGGTCGTGATTTTTCTTCTTTTCAATTGGTTTTTTTATAGTTTCGTTTAATAGAAGAACCGTTGGCAATCCGTAGAAAAACCGTTCGGAATTGACATATTTCGTTGCGGGCGATTGGTACTGGTTTCGAAGACGTTAATTTATTTTTTTCTTTGAGGGAGGGAGGGGCAAAACTATTTACGACAATTCGAATCGGTGTATATTTCACCGAAATACAAGTAAAACAAATACCGCGTTATACTACGGGGTTTTGATGGGGGGGGGGCAAATAACTTTATTACCCCTCCAGATCCTGTTTTTATCGTTTATCCGATTTTCGGATTGGTTTTTACCGACTGAGAAGATGTTTTCTGAGAAAAATAAAAAAATTACGGGAGTTGAACTTTTGATAATTCTGAACAATTTTTTTAATAGACTGTCCCGTTTGCTTTAAATTACACATATTTACGTTTGTTACACTGAAAATCAAAAATATATAATAGAATTTAAATGTTTACGGCATTTTTTTTGACCATGATCGTCGTACGCGAACAACCGTTCACTTATCACGTATTTATTTTGAAATTTTTTTTTTCTTTACATTTTGTGCATGCTCTTCATCTCCGGTAGGGTTTCACTCGTTTTGGATTTTCATTCTACGGTAAACATTCATACATTAGAGATTATTTTCCATTTCCGTTACTAAAAGGTACACAGATATTACAATATTGTTCGGCACGGTATACTTGTTCACTTCTACGTCAATCAATATTGCTGTTTTTGAATACGACGTTTTAATCAATCGGTTTCTCCGCCCGAGTTACGTGTTGGTGCACAATTAATCATTTTACTCCGATTAAGTATAAAAAAAAAAAAAAAAAAAATAATCCCGATTGGTTTTACTATTACGCCTTGTACGTTATTAGAAAATAGCCTAACCGCATGATTTTGTGTTCTTTATTGTTCTCATTTCGAATCGAATAATAACGCCCACTAGAGGGTAACAGCTGATACCCCAGAGTTTTTAAGCGTGGCGACGGCGTTGAAGATCAAAAAACACTTATATATTATGTTAGAAATAAGTAACCAAGTTTATGTGAAATAATAATATTATAACACACCGATCTATTGCTAATTTTATAGGGGGAGGGGGGAAAGGCGTGAATATAATATGCTAGTCAACGGCTGTTCAACTTGTTACGATGATTCAATTTCGAGTGTGCGTCTAGGAAAATAGAGAATCTGGCCGATATCCAAGTTAAGACCCAAGTGGTTTTGACGGGCAGTACACTAGTATCGGGTCCTAATGAATTTTCGGTAGTATCCTAGTCGGATCCCGACGATTAAAACCAATACGAAATATTTTCCTCTTTCATTTGTATACAGATTCGGGACTTGGGATCTATTTGACCAGCGATTCGTTTTGTAATTTTCCCCTCTGAAACGTTTCGTTTTTGTAACACGCGGTGTTCCTTCGTTTTTTTTCTCCGGACTTTTCACTTTAACGCGAGTGTCTGTTCGGGTAAAAACGCCCGTGAACTGGTCGATATTGTGATGGATACCGTGTGTTGTCCGTCTAAACTTTCAAACCGAGTATCGTAATTGTTATTAATGTTACGGTACCGGTCGGCTAGTGCCACTCGCGGGAACCCGGGACCCGTCCAGTATCACACGACCCGCACAGACCCGTGTAGATTTTCGATCGCGGGCCCCGACTGAGAAATTCGACACCCCGAAAGTTTAAGTGCCCGTGTGTAACAATAATAATAATTGAAATTCGCCGGCTCGTAATACGTTCGGGGCGAATGGGATGAAACGTTCGACGCGTCACGTGTTTGTTGTACCGTATTTTTTATGTGCCCAACAGATCGTCCGAAGCAAGCGCAGCGACCGGTCACCGCGATGTGGTTGTGGTTCGTGACCGCGTGTTCGGCACTGGTATTGTCGCCGGATACCGTGTCCTCCGACGCGGGCCTGTCCAGCACATCGTTCAGCAACGAGCTGCGCGCCGGTTTCACCAGACTGTTCCAGAACGGCATCGAACAGCCCAACTACCAGTCGCCGTTCGTCCTGCTCAACCCTACCGAGTTCCAGACCCCAGACCCGCAGCTCCAGCGGCCCGCCCCGTTCAGCGCGCAATTCGCGTCCCCGGGTTATCAGCCGCCCCGTTCCAGGTACGAGTTGCAGCGTCTGTCGTGGGTGATCCCTTATTATTATGTCCCTACCAGGTACCATCCGTCGAGGGGCAACAAGAGGCCGAACGACGTGCTGGTGTTGGTCGTCAAGACCACTACGAACAGTAATAACTGCACGACCAACGGGACGGAACCCGCGGCCGGCGATGGCGGCGACGAAGTAAGTACCAATAACGTTGTCGTCGTCCGTTTACGAACCGCACCTAACCGCGCGAAACATTAACGGCGTTAGGGCTGGACCGACCCGGAGAGAGCGGGGACGTACCGTTCGGGTTGAGACGCGAACCTCCGGACGGATCCGGACACCTAGCGGCCGGTACGCGTTCGCGTAGGGCCCCGCACAAACGTCCGCGCGTTAATCGGCCCGAACGTCAACGGGCCGTAATGCGTAATGCGAACTAAAATTTGCCGAAAATAAAAACGCCCGGGCAGTAATATTCCGGTAAATAATATTAATAGAAACCGAAAAACCGCAGAAAGTTAAACGGCCAAAATATATAAACAGAAGCGGAACGTGAAAATTCCGGAAATTCACTGTCGAACGACCAGAATGTAGTTTTCCAGAGAAACATAATCGTAAATAAATCGAACGAGGGAAAAAAAAGGCGCGTTTCGTGCAGCGCGGGCGTGTGTCGCGCGCAGCGAAAATATCCGTCCGCGCGAAACAACGACGGCGTTATCGCTCTCCGTCCGAGCGTCTCCTAGGGTTTGTCCGTTTCGGTCGTTTCTGCCTTCTAGAAGATTACGGTTCTGATAGGATTCCCCGCTCTCCGGTAACCGACGGCCCGGCCGTTTACGTCGCGGGACTTTACAACACGCGACGCGCGTTCGCCGTCCGAGCGGTCCGTCCAACGTCTCCGTCTCCCGGATAGCGGACACGGCGCGCGAGAGAGCGTGCGCTCCGAACGGGAGCGAAACCGTGCGTCACCTAGGTTATCGCATTTGTCTACGGACCGCTGTCGCGCGCACTCGGGAAATCCGGCCGGACGGGATTTCGTGTCGCCGTGCCGTTAAACCCGCGTGATTATCACAATAGCGGATATCGTTTGCGACCCGCACTCGGACATCGCGGTGTCGCCGTGCTATCGTTTTCGCGCCCCCACAACCCCCCCTCCCCGAACCGCGAGACCGTTCGTTTGCCGTTTTCCGCGGAACCGCCGCTACGGCGTACCGGCCGAGCGAGACGCGGACATATTGTTTTACCGGTGACGGCCGCGCTCGCCCGGCGACACGCCGAAATGTCCCGGACGGGTTTCCGTATCGTCCCCGGTCACCGCGACGTCACGCGGTGGCGGCCCGCGTCGCGACAACGTTCGTGTTGTATCGCGAATCCGAAATATTCCCGCGGAAAACCACGCGGCGTGGCCGGGGAAAACGCCGAGACGTCAACGACGACGCTTGCTGCCGCCGCGGCAGTATCGGCGACGTGTGACTAACAGCGACCGGCGGACGCGGCCCGTTCCCCTTAGGGCGCCCGAAATGTGACGACGGCTTTGTTTTTTTTTTTAATAATACACTACTAAATTCAGACTACACGTTTCACAACTGCACTGTCGATGGTCGGTTTCAACAATTCGAAATCGTCATTATACCGTAGCCGGTACGCGTGCGCGACGTAAACGACGTTCGCCGGCGATACTATGTAGACGACGGATTATCTGTACACCGCGTGCGCGGTGTTACGTTTAACGGCGTTAACCGCGGTGCGACGCGGCGTTTTTATCAAGCGAACGAGTAAATCTTCGGGATATCGTTCGTCGCGCATGTGAACGGACGTGTCGCGGCAAACGGTCAGGACGTGTATCGATGCCGTTTACAGAAAAAAAAAAAAAACGTATAAAACAATTTCAGAAAGTGGGGGTAAACCGCCCACACACACACACACACACACACACACACACACATATACATATGTCTGGATTTCGAAGTCACGCCGCCGATCGCTCTATGGCGGTCCAACGGAGTGTGTGGAAAAACGTGGTCCGTTATAACGGATCGTAACATGCATTATGCATTATGCGATCGGCCGTCATCTCCTGCAGTATTGGTATAGGCTCTCTAGACCGATCTACGCCCCCCCCCGTTGTATTACAGGAGATTGTAAAAAACCGACATATTGTCATTTTATGCGTTCGAGTTAAAAAAAAAAAAAAAAACAAAAACCGTCCACGTAGGAATATCGCAGTACGCCGTTACTCCGGGCAATCGATTTCCGATTTAGCCCGGTAGTTTCGAGGGGGCCTGTAGGGTAGTTTGTAGGGCGGTCTTACACAGGTGAAATGATCCGTGTTTATTTTATTGTCGTTATAATTTAACGATAAAGTGCAGTCTTGGGCAGTAAAGTACAGCGCGTAAGTTACCTGCGCGTTGTGCCGTATAATTCCGGTACCTACTTTAATGTGGCGGAATCGCGTTGTTTTTTTATTTTTTTTTGTTCTTTTCCTCCCGCGTGTACCCATTGATGTTTTGACATTAGTAACGCGCGACTAAATGATTACTGAATTATTCGGCTGGTTTTAACGGTACCGACACGACGACTGTAACGGTTGCTGTTAAAACGTTTTTCGACCGATGCGCGCGTGTAAATTAATTGAAAAAAAAAAAACAAACAAAATAATAATAAAAAGTACACGCATTTTCCGTACGGCGAGATCGGGGAAAAAGGATAGAAACAATCGAGAAGTAAAACGAATCGCGTTCCAGTTTCAGAAGTAAAGTAATTACACGCGCATTTGAGGTACTTAACTAACAACGAACGCGCAATGTCGTTAAACTCACGTTTTAAATAGGCGACGAGTTACGCGTGGTAATTGTATTGCTTCCGAAAGGCGACACTCGCCCGAGGCCGGCAAACTAGGTGATAATTCGGTTCGCGCGAGACGCATAAGTTAGGTACACTATGGCTAACCGTATTGTTAATGTCGTGTTCGTTTTTATTTAATCCCACGCGACGCGCAGGAATCGAATCCGGACGACGAGGTGGAAGTCATAGCCGGCGGCGCGGAAAAGGGCAAGGAACCGTCGCGGTGCGTGTGGGCCATCCTGTCGTGCTGCGCCCCGGCCAACACCCCCATCCGGTACACGTGTTTCGACGTGTTGGGCTGCAGCGCCGCGTTCTGGGACACCAACCCGTGCGTGCCGGCCATCCTGCTGACCGCCCTCGACCAGGCCACCGCGTACTACGGCGCGGCCACGGCCAGCAACCGGACCGTGACGACGGACAAGCCGGCCGCGGACCCGGCCGCCACGGACCCGCCCGCCACCGACGCCGCGGCCGTGGACCTGACGGCCGCCCTGACGGCCGGCACGACCACCACTACGGCCGACACGTCCATTATCGACCAGACGGCGACGCCCAAGCCGGCCGCTTAGGCGCGGCGCCCGCACGGAATCCGCTTCCGCCCCTCATTCGCGACCAACTCCCCTCCTCCTACCTCCCCCTCTCCGAAAATACCGTACGTGTACAACGGTACGCGTCCAAATTGTATAATACAACAACATTGTTAAACTGTCGGGAAAAATTGTCTGCGACATCCACCGACGGTGTACGGTCGCTTATAGTTTACTATGGATAATATAATATTTCAACTACAAACGTGTGTGTATTTTATGACGTTTGCCCTCAAAAACGAAATTTGATATTTCACATCGTGCAATCGTATTCGTTTGCGGTTTATCATTGTCGCCCTGTCCGAGTGAAACGCGAAAATCACAAGACAGGCAGGCAGCGACGAGAAGTCTTTAATATTTTTTTTTTTTTTTTTTTTTCGATTTTCACCGACAGCGGGCGGGAACGTGTTTGCACGTTACCGGTACTGGTAAAGAACACATTTAGAATATTTGCATTCAGAATACATATTAGATTTGAATAAATTAGTTAAAATGAATTCGGAATACGTATTCGGACGTTTCTTCCGAAAAGTATTCAAAATAGTATTAAAATACTTTCTCTCAGCCGACTTGTTAGCCGTTTCACGATAAAAAAACGAAAAAAAAAAAAAATAATATCGAAATGGGTAAAGTAGCCGTATAGTTCTCGAGAGTTTCGTTAACACGCAGCCTCACGGTGGGTTTAGGGGTTAAGAGTTCAAACCTTCTAATAGCACGTCCTCGGCAACAGTTCCAAATGTGTACGCGTTTCAACCGAATCACTTTACTTTCGTAAATCTGTTGGGATATTTAAAACCCGATATTTCTTGTTAAAACATAAAAAAAAAAAAAAACCTGGCATAAAAGCGGTCGGGAGAGGATTAAGGTAAACCCACTAAAACGCACATCCCCCGTACGTACACCGTGAATACAAAAAACGTTATCGCATTGGCTTAATTCGGGAGGGGTTTGCAGGGGCGTACAAAGCTAAAAAAGAAACACCATTATTTCGCGGCAACGCTGTCAAAATCATATTATTGTAATTCAAACAGAATTTGATCATTTCAGTCGGCTTGTAAAAAAAAAAAAAAAAACCTCTAAATCCCGAGTAGCTAAACGTGTCCAAATGTAGCGGTAAAAAAAAACAAAAAAAATTATTTTTATGCATTTATAACAGACGCAATAAAGTGCAAAAGTCTTTATTGTTCGGAAAAATTCGATAACAAATTCGTCAGTAAAAATAGTAGAAAAAAAGGACGCACATACTTCTCACGTGCGTGCAGCCACTGTTGTAGGCGAGAAGTGGAGAAGGTAAGCTGAATACGGGAATTTAATGTATATCTATATGTAACCAATAATAAATCATTGTTCACGAAAAAACGATTCTGAGTCGAGTTCAGTTGATAATGTTGCTTTGTCAACAATACAATATATGGTGTTACGTCATATTATGGTAAAATGATTAAAACAATGTGCGTTTCCGTGACAACATAAATTGTTTAAAAAAGATTAAAATAATAAACACTTAATAATAATAAAAAAAAAAAAACAAATAAAATCGGTTGCCAATGACGACCTTATTTTTAATCTTTCGATCTTTTTTTAACCTAGAGACCGAGATTTTCCTCATTATTTCAAAACATTAATGAGAATTTCAAAATAACGACCTCTTTAAAGTACTATCCAGAGAACATGTCCTTTCAGAAAAGTTGGTGTACTTGATAATTGGACTATGCTTTCTGGTAGAAAAAGTGTTCACATGAAAAAAATGATAAATATCATTGTAAAACCAATACATTCCTGTTTCCACTCACAATCTAAATCACCTAAAACGATTATTTTACTTTGTGCATACTTGAGTTATTATTTTATCGCAATGGAATCGTAATTTAAGAACGTTCTGCGTTATTTTAAATACAATATAATCACATATCCGATAAAATAGGGCCGTACAATTTCGCCGCGGAATATTGAATTTCGATGATAAATAAAAAAAAAAAATGCCAGTGATTTATTTAAAAAAAAAAAAAAAATGAAAATCTATAAACGTTACCGCGGCGGACATAACATATTGAAAGCGTTGTGAACGGTCCTCTATGTAGCTTTTTAAAAATGTCTGACAACAACGCGTAAAAAAGTTCAATCGGTTTTAATTAGATATACGGTAGGAGAAAAGAATAGGTTGAGGGACGGACACTCGAAGGAAAGGGCATTAAGGATAAGTAAAATTATATTAGAGCATGAGTACGGAAGAACGTAACAAGACAGCCAACGGCCTTGAGCGATGACGTTGTATACGTTTTATGCGAATTGGCGAGATTGAGAGTTTTGTGTACCGAGGATCTTTTGTGTACGAAATAACGGTGGCCTTGGAGAGTGTGTGAACAACGAGATCGAGTGTGGTTGGACAAAGTCGAGAGAAACGTCAGTTGTTTACTGTGACAAGACAATTCCAACGGCATTCAAAGACGTGTTCAACGAAATTGCGGTGACCGGTTGCGGGTCTAGAGTTTAGAAACAGTCGGCGGTCAGCTATATTCACGAGGGCACCGTTTTAGGGCCAGTAATTAGCAGCGGTGGCGGCGCTGGGTTTTGCGGGACCCCGGGACAAAGCTTCAGTATAACTAATGGTTTTGCGCCTATATAGTAATATATCGCTGGGGCCATTGAAACCGAAACGCGCGCGGGGCCCAGTTGTCCTGTGTCCAGTTTGTTCTCCCCTGGCCGCCAGCGCTTAATTATAATCAGGACCCCAGAAGCACACCAAAAGATTATTTTGTTCACGTAGGACGTAGATGCGGTTTCGATAGTAGACAAAATGCAGGAAAAGTTACCGAGACGGTTTGGGCATGTCACGGGGAGAGAGGAATTAAAAGCAAGTAAGAAAATTACTGTAATGAAAATAAACGTAGGAGGAAACACGGAGAGAGAAAGACCGGAAAAGAGATGGGTTGGGTATGGTTGAGAATGATACGGGAAAAGTCGTCGGTATATGCGAGATAGGAGATCGGGTCAAGCAGAAGTATAGGACAAGGGGGGACGCGGCACTAGAGAGTTGAGATGAAGGCCGAGGGAGAAAAAGACGAAATACTTCAAATGTGAAAAATGGCAAATGAAATATATTTCATACCGGCAACCCTGCCAACAAATAACTCGATATGATGTGGAATCTTGCGCGAAACAGACGGCTAAATGCTGAGCGAAGTGCATTTTTTTTTTTTTTTTTTATTATAACATACTGTGTTTCATCTGATACATGTGTCCGGTGGACGTATTGTATTTGGGTTTACAGAAAATTCAGGTTTGGGTATCCAACGGTATCTAATAATGCCGAAGAAAAAAACGTTCCTCGTTCCAATCGGAATCAAAAACGCAAAAATATCCCCGCGTCTCAGTGTTCCATTTTCGGTCGCCGGTTTTAACGATACTCAACGAATCGCGTTATTGCGATTGACATGTCAAATGCATTTAACTTTAAACAGAAAAACGCGAACGTATGTTCGCACCTCGATGTGCGGGCCGCTTTAGTTGTGAGTGGATATCCGGGAAGGAAAAAGTGGGGGGGGGGGGGGGAAACGAGGGTAATAGTGCAATTCCATTTATGTATACAGCGCGCGACGATAAATCGTCGCTGACGATCACCGATTCCGGACGGAGTACGGTATTAGAGCAGTGTGTTTTCCTGCGTATTGCCAAAAGTAACATGTTATAAATCGACAAAACAAAATACATAGTGCGGATGGACCGTTAGAAACTCCGCATCGGTCAATGTATCGCGCAGCACAGCCGTGGCATTTTTATTACGAACGAAAAAAGTGTTTTTTGGAAAAAAAAAAAAACGAAACCACAAAAAAACGTTAGGAATTTCGATAGTTGTTCCAAATAAAATAGCGAAAAGCGGATAATGTGTGTCTGTGCCGCGAACAAACCGGGACATTCGCACTGACCGAAAAGTGTTTACCGAAATGGAAAAAAAAAATAAAAAAAAAATATAGCCACCGTTGTTAACGAGAAACGATTCGGAGTGAACGCGTTGTTTTTTTTTTGTGTACGCGTTTGCGTACGTCTTCCCGTTTTTCCCGAAAACGGTTGTGTGTACCGTTAGGGAAAAATTGAAACTGACCTCTGACCGAAACAAAAGAAAAAACAAAAAAAAAAAACACCCCCAAACCTCTGTAAAACCAATTATCGTCGTATACAACTACAAAGTAAGTAAGTGTACATTAAACATTCGTAGATTATTTCATAAACATGCAATGTTTTTTATTCGGCGCGTAGTATATAGGTAACTTGAGTTGCGCCTTAATTTTAGTAAAATTATCATTTTTCAAAAAAAAAAATTATTTATTTAATTGAATTTCTCGGTTATTCTAAGTAACTCGGACGATTACCGCTGCGGTAATATTATTATGTTTCGACGGACAAAAAACTGCAAACTATAAAGTACGCGAGAAGTTTGACAAATAACGAATAATATAATATTTTTTTATAATGGTTTCGACAAAAAAAAAAAAGAAACCACCGAAAAATCGAATATTACAGTCACGCGTCTGTCATCGTCGTGACAATCGATCAATGGCATTAAAATAAAATTTAGTTTTTTTTTTTATTTATTTTTTTTTTTTTATTGGAAGTCCGTCTCCCTTATAAACTACTACTGCAGACGCATGCGTACGTGTTTCGTCTGGATTGGCGTATTTTTATCGCACATCATGTCTAAACCAAGTAGTAATAATTTATCCGAGACGAATGATCGAATCGTTCCGATAAAAATTGATGTTGAATCGTAACTTATAAACGTACGAGCAACATTAGGTTGAATAAAAAAAAAAAAAAAAAAAAAAAAAAAAACCACCAATCAAATTCAACCCACCGCACCACGGTCCTTTCGATATCTATACAGGTGTGGCGCGTATCAAAAATCCGGTACGCGTGTTTATTATTACCTGTAGCACTTAGTTCTGTGATTGCGGTAGACAACCGAGAACATTTTACAGACGAAGTAACGTTGCGGGTTATTGGAGTGCGTACCTGCCGGCAGCCTATTTAGGAATCGGCGGGTGGGGAAGAGGGGTGGGGGTTGTTGGAGATTAGGGGATACATCTACCGCTTTGATTTTTTCCTCTTTTTTTTTTCTATCTATTATTAATCGTACGACCACGTTTTGTGTGAATTTCAATTCGTTTACTGTTCGAAAATGAAAAAAAAAAAGTCGTTATT